AGCAGAGGGCTACTTTTGTTGGGCCTCACCCCTCACTGAGCAGAGGGCTACTTTTGTTGGGCCCCGCCCCTCTTCGAGCAGAGGGCTACTTTTGTTAGGCCCCGCCCCTCACCCAGCAGAGGGCTACTTTTGTTGGGCCCCGCCCCTCACCCAGCAGAGGGCTACTTTTGTTAGGCCCCGCCCCTCACCGAGCAGAGGGCTACTTTTGTTGGGCTCCGCCCCCTCACTAAGCAGAGGGCTACTTTTGTTAGGCCCGGCCCCTCACTGAGCAGAGGGCTACTTTTATTGGGCCCTCCCCCCTCACCGAGCAGAGGGCGACTTTTGTTGGGCCCCACCCCTCACCAAGCAGAGGGCTACTTTTGTTGGGCCCTCCCCCTCACCAAGCAGAGGGCTACTTTTGTTGGGCCCTGCCCCCTCACCGAGCAGAGGGCTACTTTTGTTGGGCCCCACCCCTCACCCAGCAGAGGGCTACTTTTGTTGGGCCCCACCCATCACCCAGCAGAGGGCTACTTTTGTTGGGCCCCACCCCTCACCCAGCAGAGGGCTACTTTTGTTGGGCCCCACCCCTCACCCAGCAGAGGGCTACTTTTGTTGGGCCCCACCCCTCACCCAGCAGAGGGCTACTTTTGTTGGGCCCCACCCCTCACCCAGCAGAGGGCTACTTTTGTTGGGACCCACCCCTCACCCAGCAGAGGGCTACTTTTGTTGGGCCCTCCCCCCCTCACCGAGCAGAGGGCTACTTTTGTTGGGCCCCACCCCTCACCCAGCAGAGGGCTACGTTTGTTGGGCCCTGCCCCTCACCCAGCAGAGGGCTACGTTTGTTGGGCCCTGCCCCTCACCGAGCAGAGGGCTACTTTTGTTGGGCCCCACTCCTCACTGAGCAGAGGGCTACTTTTGTGCATGCCTAGTAAAGTAAAGGACCTTTTTCCACACCTTTAGGCATTTTTGGCATTTAAGGCTGAGCCTATATTGTATAGACAAATTGGCACTCTGTGGGTGATGTAGTCGAAATCATGCTAGCTGCTTTTACTTACAAGGAATTTACCTGGTGTCCATTTAAGGCTGGACGACCTGAGAGCCAAAGTCATTTTGAAAGCCCAGCTCTGTTAGACATGAACCCATGACCTTCAGATCTCAGGTGAGTATTTAGCCTCTATACCATAGCGGCACACATGGACACCAAGGGTGCCCCGATATTACTGGGTTTTTTCTGAAAGGATCGACTTCATTGCCCTATGTTATCCTATATGGCTCACTCGCTCTATGCAGAATGTGCCTGTCGACAGCATTGCACAAAGCACAAACTCTGTAGCTCCAGCAATGATTCTCTTATAAATTGCACTCGTGAGATAAGTGACATCTTGAAAATGCCTTACTGAGTCATTGGATATCAAAACTTCAGAGCTAAGTAAGTTGAGCTGAGTTTCAAGAACCGATACCACAGCACTCAGGACATTCCCATAAGCAGTCTGCTCCCATTTTCAGCAGCCAGGGAAGAGTTCCAACTCCCATTTTACCAGCAGCAGTCTGTTCCTCTGAGTTTGGAATGCCAGCCGGCTCCTCAAGTAAGTCCCCGCTGAACTGCTCGCTTCAGACCATGATAATCTCATTTGTGCCTCGACACTGTTTTCTCACTCCCAAATGGTTGTGAGAAAAAGTTAACCTGTCATTTACCATTGAGTAAACATTCAGATCCTATTTGTGGGTTCTGGGGCCCTCATCTTGGGGAGGGACAGGGGGACAGACCAAGTGCCCCTAACAAGCATGCTGAACAAGGCGACCCCAAATTAGAGTTTTGCTGAAATCAGACATGTTGAGCTAAAAGACGCTGATACTGGCTTATTTCAATCCTTTCCATCTCAAATTTCAACAACCTCACACTGACTAGTGCTTTGTTTAAAAATTTAAAGACTGACTTCTGCCCGTGTACAAAAAAGAGAAAAAAAAATGACTGCTTTGTTACACAAACACACACAAATTAAGAAAAAGATTGTTTAAAAAGGAAGAAACAAAAAAAAATCAAAGATAAGTAACTGAATCACAATTTATTCTACACGTACCTGAAGAATACATCCTTGGTACACTCATGTTGGGTGTTACACAGCATAAAATACATTAACTGCTGAATTAAGTACACAAGATGTGCTTACGGCTTGCATATAAAATGCCCTTAGCAAAAGTCATACAGGAGTAACAAATACAGCAATTAGAGAAACATGAAACACAATCTCAATACTATACACATAAAATCTCTCTAAAAAAAAAACTATATACAATCTTTATTACTACACATCAAAAGGAAGAAATTTAAGGATGCGTGAATATCTTCTCTGGAAGATTTAGTCCTAATTTTTATTAACAGAAACAGTGCTACAGAACTCAGGACACATCTACAGGTGCTCTGTCTTGAGATTCGAAAGTGTGTGAATGCTAACTGCTGAATTTGTATTGGTTCAGACAGACGTACACCTAGATAATACTAATTATACAACAGCGAGTGTTGGAAAGATGGGGATACTACATAAAAACTAGACCCTTTTTGAAATAAATGTCTAAGGAAAATCCAGTAAATATTTTGGCCAAACAAAATTTCAATTAACATAAACCAACCATCTCCCAAGACAGTTTAGGGTACTAAGTAAAACGTTGTTTTCTAGTGGGCACACAAACGAACTAAGTTCATGTTAACAATGAAATTAACACCAAACCAACCATCTTCTAGCACAGTTTAGGGTAGTAAGTAAAACAGTTTTCTGGTGGGAATTTAAAGAAACTAAATTTAGTGTTAACAATGAAATTAACACCAAATCAATCATCTTCTAGCACAGTTTAGGGCAGTAAGTAAAACGCTGTTTTCTAGTAGGATATAAACAAAATTAGTGTTAACAATGAAATTAACACCAAACTAACCATCTTCTAGCACAGTTTAGGGCAGTAAGTAAAACACTGTTTTCCAGTGGGAAAATAAAGAATCTAAATTTAGTGTTAACCATGAAATTAACACCCAAAAAACCATCTTCTAGCTCAGTTTAGGGTAGTAAGTAAAACACTGTTTTCTAGTGGGAATATAAACAAAGTTAGTGTTAACAATGAAATTAACACCAACCATGATGAATACAAAGTAAAGCCTTCAGATTTTGATATGTAACCAATTTTAGGGAACAACAAATATGTTTGCAATCATGTCTATAGTAACAACAAAACAAGTAAAATTAAGAAACAAAATTATATTTGCTAATATGGTTAGGCAGTTTTTAACAAAAGGTTGCTGTGTGTGTGTGCGCTCGTGCGTTTGTTAGAGAAAGAGAGTGTTGAAGGCAGGGAGGTAGACAAGACAGTGAGGGAGGGAGATATAGAGAGGCAGGGAAAGAGTAAGAGGGGTATGGAGAGATAGGGGAGGAAGTAAGGGGGAGAGAGTGAGAGAAAGAAAGAGTTGTAACATATATGCATTTTTTTTTCTAAACCTATCCATTACAATATTTTCCACTCATATATTAGAGCCCATTATGGAAGCAAAGAACAATCCTACTACGCATGCCTCAAGAGGTGGCCAAGGAGAGTTCGTATGAGACTAGCTTTCTCATCCTGCAGAAAGACTTTAGCTACAAGATTCAGCTGATCACGATAAATCTACAAACAGTATGGCACAAAGTGGTTGAGGGCACGACCGACTCCAGCTGACAGGCTATGCTGCTGATGTCACCGGGTCGGGCTAACGATCTGTTAACGCAGCGGTTCTCAAACTGGGTGCCGGGCACACTGGGGTGCCGTGAGCGTATGCTAGGGCTGCTGCAGCAATTATCAAGAAAAGCCGGCTAAAAATTGAGAAATCATTAAAGAAGGTATGTAGATACTTAAAAGTTAAAATGTCAGTTGTCTTCCCTGGCCACTGCCGAAAATAGATTACTTCTTATTTGACAACCGCTGCATTACCGCATCATTAGCCCGATCCGGTGACGTAAGCAGCATGTCGTGTTGTAGGCCTATGCTCCACTGGGAGATGCAAGGCAAACGATATACGGATATACCCTTGATACTGTTACAGCCATGATAAGAAACTATAAACCAACAATTTTTCACAAAGATATATGTATACACGATTTTGATAAGTAACATAAAATCAATCTGGCAAACAATTCAACAAAGATACTTGAATACAGCCATAAGAAACTATGAACCAATAATCTATCAACAGTATACAGAACAATCCTTGATAAGTAACAATTAAATCAGATTGGCTAAAGGTTTATCAAAGATAAAAGAATATAGTTTTCATAAACAGCTATACAATGAGTCTCACAGAATATATTAAATGCACACAAATAAAGCTGGGATAAATATTTGTGAACCAGATATTTTTCAAAAATTTGCGAATACACCCTGATATGTAACTGTGAAATCGGTTAAACTAAAGAATTATCAAAGAAAATGAGTTTCCTCACCACTGGGAATTTCTATTTATCTGAATTTGCTGTAAAACAGATTTTTTTAAACATATGAATACGCCTTTTTTTTTTTTTTTAAATTTTAAAGCAAAAATGATTAGTGACAACACCACAACACTGCGGACAGATCCATATGGGCTCTGAATTTCTTCTCAACAGCTCCACGAACATGCAACGACTTTTCACACCCACTAGTAATAGTGAAATCATCTAGGCAATAGACTTATTAAAGAGAGTAGTAGGGTCGCCATAAGGGACTGTAATTAGCTGCAGAATTATCAAAGAAAAAAAAAGAATATAATTGTGATAAACAGCTGTAAATCAGTTTCAATACACACAAAAATACACAAAATATAGACTTTGTACACAGCTGTGAAATCAGTTTCTCCCAAGATTTACGAAAATGAATCGACTATAATGGCAATGAAATTTTCTTACGCTACTAAAAAAAAAAACAATGGCAGGGTGACAGTGAAAATAAAGCACAGATGCATGTTAAATAAATGAAAAACTGTTGGTTAAAAAAGTGCTGAAAGGGTGGATGAATCAACAGCCCTACATGGCAGCAGCTCCGCTTGTGACCTCCTTCATCCGTTTCTTCAGCAAGGGATTGTTGGACTGTTGTAGGTTTTTAATGTTTACCACCTGGTCGTAGTCAACCCTCATTGTGGCCAGAGCGTTCGTCATTTCTTCCTGAAATCAGAAAACAGTGTTTTTTAGAATGAGCAGCTCAAGGGTTCCCCGTGAGGATTTTACGAAGGAAAACAATAAATACGGTAACCCCCCCACAAGCATTAGGAGGCGACTAATTATTGGAAGTTTACTTCCAAGTCGGAGTGCATCTGCTGACAGGCAAGGAGTCAACATTCTGCATACAAATAGCCTGATCTGAAAATAGATGTGCACACAGATCAAGTTCCGGAAAAAGACTAAAGTCCAGATTCGGACGAGCAAGCAGAAATTTCCATCAGAGGTCAAAGCTGATAAACATCAAGAAGAAGAATAGTACTGTGAGAAACAATAGTCGTTTAAAAATGAGGTTAGGTCTCTGGTGGAAAAAATTTGTTTTTCCTCCTTCTTCTTTGTTTTCACGGGCTGTAAACTCCAGTTAAAAGCTCTGTGTGTTTGTCCACCTCCGGACTTTAGTCTTGTTGCAAAACCTGAGTGCTGCATACACATAGTTTTACAGATCTGCCTTATTTGTATGCAGACTTGTGGTTCCTTACCTCTCAGGCAGAGGTACACCAACTTCAAAGGATGTCCCCAGTTAGTCTACTGCTACAAAATGCGTGTTGGGGAGGCAGTAAGTCTATTCTTGTTTTCCCCCACAGTGGGACCCTGCAACCCAGACAAGGATTTTTTCTTTTAGTTTACTTCCTTTCCCTCCTGGATTGCAGTCTGCAGGATTGACATCTCAAGGATGAGAATCTTCTTCTTTGTGTTCACCGGCCGTAAACTCCGGCGGAAAGTTCTAGCTGTCTGCCTACTTCTGGATTTTAGACTTGTTCCGGAACTCGAGGTTTGCGTGCACATCCATTTTTCAGATCTGGCTTTTTTGTAAGTAGACTGTTGGTTTGCCTCTTAGGAAGATGCACTCTGACTTCGAAGGAAACACTCCGAATCAGTCGACTTTTGCGACAAGTTTGGGAAAAGGGGAGGGTTGTGTCTAATCTTGTTCCCCAGAATGGTGATACGCTGTGTGAAAAATGTCGTTTAGTTCACTTGCCTAAAAGTGTGTGCCAGTTCATCTTTAGGTCGCATGAACCCTTTCCATACTAAGGAAATAACTATGCATTATTTAGTAACTGCTTTTATGACAAAGGTTTTCTAATGCCTTATCTAGATGTTTAATTTACAAACTCAATCGTAACTGTTATTTTACGCTTTCCAATGAGATTAAGCTTCATAATGTTGGGGTGCCAGGTTTCAATCTCAGCTGTGGACCGTTTGTCTTGCATTGGTTTCGACAGTTGTACCGACAGCTGGCCGTTCAAAAAGCAATGGTAAATTGCTGAACATAACATTTGTCTAGAAATACCACAACAGTTTTGTTTTTTTTTAACTGGGTTTTTTATGTGTCATGTAAAGGATAGGCAACTAGCTTGATAGGGTTTCATCTTTATTTGCTGCACCCCTCCCCCCCCCTTTTTATTTTTTATCCTACATGATGCATGGGCCCTCAACTAAATTACACCAAGTCGTCCTACTCTTTGCTATTGCAGGTAACTCACCACCACCACATGTCCTCCCCATCAGCCTGCTCTTTGCTATTGCAGGTAACTCACCACCACATGTCCTCCCCATCAACCTGCTCTTTGCTATTGCAGGTAACTCACCACCACCACATGTCCTCCCCATCAACCTACTCTTTGCTATTGCAGGTAACTCACCACCACATGTCCTCCCCATCAACCTACTCTTTGCTATTGCAGGTAACTCACCACCAGTCCTCCCCATCAACCTACTCTTTGCTATTGCAGGTAACTCACCACCACCACATGTCCTCCCCATCAACCTACTCTTTGCTATTGCAGGTAACTCACCACCAGTCCTCCCCATCAACCTGCTCTTTGCTATTGCAGGTAACTCACCACCAGTCCTCCCCATCAACCTACTCTTTGCTATTGCAGGTAACTCACCACCACATGTCCTCCCCATCAACCTGCTCTTTGCTATTGCAGGTAACTCACCACCAGTCCTCCCCATCAACCTACTCTTTGCTATTGCAGGTAACTCACCACCACATGTCCTCCCCATCAACCTGCTCTTTGCTATTGCAGGTAACTCACCACCAGTCCTCCCCCATCAACCTACTCTTTGCTATTGCAGGTTTACTCACCACCACATGTCCTCCCCCATCAACCTGCTCTTTGCTATTGCAGGTAACTCACCACCAGTCCTCCCCATCAACCTACTCTTTGCTATTGCAGGTAACTCACCACCACATGTCCTCCCCATCAACCTACTCTTTGCTATTACAGGTAACTCACCACCACATGTCCTCCCCATCAGCCTACTCTTTGCTATTGCAGGTAACTCACCACCACATGTCCTCCCCATCTTTTTAACTTCACACCCCAGCTCCCTTCTCTATCTGTTGTTGTTTCTTTCTTTGCCCCTGTGGCTTCCAGCGCAAATACATTTAAGTTATTCAACCTTTAACAGCTGAGTTGAAAACTGACAAATGCAGGAACTGGGACACAGTCATAAGTGATACGTCCCATCTTCAGCAACCAGGACACAGTCATAAGTGATACGTCCCATCTTCAGCAACCAGAACAAAGAGTTCTAATTCCAATTGTGAAGTAGGAATTTGATTATATCTTCATCCTACATTTAGCAGTTAAAAATTACAGCTTATTTTGGTAGAATGAGTTAAAACAACAACAGTCAGGATCAGAAAGAGTTAAGCTGATGAAGTAGCAAAGATTATATCTGAAATCAGTTGTCAGGCAAATGTTGTTCACTATAATGATTTGTACTCATCTGTACCGTTTTAATGATTCATTTCCGGTATCATGCGTGTGTCAGGGAATCAACTGGCCAGACAGGCATGTGATATTTACTGTATAATTATGTAATGAGCTGATGAATGCTCTTTAGCCACAACGTTCACTTGTCATCTGTGTTTGTTATAATGTGAAGCAGATTAGTTCTACCTACCTGTCTATCTATCTTCTTTTACCTCACCAGGACATTACACAAGCGATAAACACAGGATGACACAAAGTGCCACCATGTGGATGAGAATTGGTTTTACTTTTTGTTCGGCTTGATATCTTTACAACATATTTAGAAATGCATATGTAAACAAGTTTACATATTTCCATTTTTTTAAGGGAAGGTGGGGGGGGGGGGGAGAATTAAAATCAACAAAAGCATTTTGAATTAAAAACTGTCTGGAAGTAATTCATTAGTGTGGTAAAAGGTATTACTATCAAACTATGTTCAAATCAATCAGTTACTGAACAAGAAATACGAGATCTTTACAGGGTCAAAGGGTTAAAGAAATAAGAAATAAATTCTCAGAGTTGAATAAGTTGGTGTAACGTAAAGCCTACTTGATTTCAAAGAGTTTTTTTTTATTAAACTAAGATTATTTGACAATACCATCTTTACAAGAGAGGCTCTGTATGCCAACAAAAATCGCAAGAGAGTAAGATTACTGTTAAAAGAGACAAGGTTAGTTAGTTGGTTTGTAAGTTAAAGTCAGTTTAGGTTTAGTTAACTAGTAAGTTAAGTTAGGTTAAGTTAAGGCAGTTAGCAGTTAGTTCGAGGAAAGCCTAGCCACATGGGCAGGCAATGCTTTCAACGCTGGATATTACTATTTTTGGTGGAGGAGGTTAGACGTTCCAATAGCTGAAGATCCTGTATCGATTACAAATACAGACATTATATATATTTGTAACATAGAAACAGGTGGATGTGAAACATGGACAATACAGATGTGAATCATGGACCATTTGGCCATCACTGTGGAATACAATCATTAGTTTCAACTAAATTGTTACAGAACAATTCTTAGAATAGTTCTGAGTGAAATGAATAAACATCTTATCAATTTATAACATCTACAAATACTAAAGAAAACTAGCTTATAGAAACTGTCATGTCTCAGAAACTAAAATATTCTAGACAGGTTACAGACCCTAAACATATCATTAAAAGTCTATGGTTAAGCACCAATAAGGAAATAAAAGTAAAAAAGTTAAGAGCATTTGTCTTTCTGTAGCAACATACAGATGTGAGTTTTAGATTATCTCACAGTCATTAAGGAAGGTCGGCTCTGTGGCCAAGTCGATGCGAACGCTTCGTAATGCCGGGTTCGATCCCAGCTCTGGGCCATGCGCCTTGCGCTGGTTTCGACAGTAGTATCAAGAAAGCCAATCGTCCAGAAAGCAATGGCAAACTACTGGACATAAATATGCCTAGAAAAACCACACAACAGGGAGGGGCTGTTGGGGTTGGTTCTGCAACGTCCTGTAAAGGATACGCAACTAACCTGCCATTAAGAAAGAAAAAAAAGGGCTTTTAGAAAGATTCTCAGAATAAGATGGACCACAAAGAAAAGAATTACTGACATCCTAAAAGATCTGATTAGCTACTGTACAGCATCTTGTTTCGGAAACTCAAATATTTTGGCTATATCAAGCGCCCCAGCAGACGGAAAAGAATAGTTGCAGAACATATGGTAGCAGAAACAGGGAGCAAGGCCAACCAGCATGAAGACTGCCACAGGATAAAAGTAACACACTGGGTAGGGAAGCGCATGATGTGGGACATCTGGCAAGAAACAGAGTTTGAGATCTGGCAAGAAACAGAGTGGGACATCTGGCAAGAAACAGAGTTGGAAATCTGGCAAGAAACAGTGGGAGATCTGGCAAGAAACAGAGTTTGAGATCTGGCAAGAAACAGTTTGAGATCTGGCAAGAAACAGAGTTTGAGATCTGGCAAGAAACAGAGTTTGAGATCTGGCAAGAAACAGAGTTGGAGATCTGGCAAGAAACAGAGTGGGAGATCTGGCAACAAACAGAGTTGGAGATCTGGCAACAAACAGAGTTGGAGATCTGGCAAGAAACAGAGTTGGAGATCTGGCAACAAACAGAGTTGGAGATCTGGCAACAAACAGAGTTTGAGATCTGGCAAGAAACAGAGTTGGAGATCTGGCAAGAAACATTTGGAGATTGGCAAGAAACAGAGTGGGAGATCTGGCAACAAACAGTTTGAGATCTGGCAAGAAACATTTTGAGATCTGGCTAGAAACAGTTTGAGATCTGGCAAGAAACAGTTTGAGATCTGGCAAGAAACAGTTTGAGATCTGGCAAGAAACAGAGTTGGAGATCTGGCAAGAAACAGTTTGAGATCTGGCTAGAAACACAGGATATCTTTCAGAAAGGCTGTGAGGAGAGCTATGTTCTGCAAAGGACCTGCTGCCGGAGGAGATTTTAATCAGCGGCTCTCAACCTGTGGATCATGGCCCTTTTGGGGGTCAAACGACCCATTCACAGGGGTCACCTAAGAACATCAGAAAACACATATTCACTGAAGTTATTTATGAAGTAGCAATGAAAATAATGTTACGTCTGGGGGGTCACCACAACATGAGGAACTGTATTAAAGGGTCGCAGCATTAGGAGGTTGAGAACCACTGCCCCAAATATTAAGAATCTATTGTATGCTAGATCCATTTCAGATTTGTTACAGTCTAGATATGTTATAGATCTATCACATTATAGATATGTCATAGATCTTTAAACTCTAGTAACATGAGAGATCTATGACAGATCTGTGTCACGCTAGATGTTACAAATTTATTACACGCTTAATATGTTACTGAACTATGACACACTATAACATTCTAGATATATTAACATACATGACACTCTAGATGTTACAAATCTATAACACTTTAGCTGTGTTACAGATCCATTACACCTGTGGGTTCATGTTTAAAGACATTCTAGTTATTTTGTTCTCAGGTTTTCCCAACACATGTCATTTCAATAGCCTGAGGGTCACTCCTTCACTATTTTATAATTTTCCTCTGTATGACCAAAGAATAAAAAGTTTCACCTAAATTTATTAAAATATTTTTGTCATGCCCCAGTACACCTAGTTTTATGGGGAAAATATTGTAAATTCTACACCATAGATATGTTTCAGCTCTACGACACTCTAAATATGTTACAGATGTATCACATCTTAGATATGTGACAAAATAATACACCCGATATTTTACAGAATTATTACATAATATATCGGTTACAGACTGATACTACCGGAGAAATGTTACAGGCCCACTAAACTCTAGAAATTTACAGATATATTACACCTACAAAAGCAAACATCGCCTCTCATATTTACCTGAACATCCATCCAGACATCCTCCTCTTCTTTGAGAACTTGTGCAGACATAAGAGGTGTTGGTGGCACCAAAGTATTATCCTGCAATTCAAAAAGAGAGAGGCCATGTCAGGTTATCAGTATTATGAAACATGAAAAGACTGAAGCAATAAATGCAATACATTCCCTGGGGCGATATACAATATATTGTTCATTTATATGTTTATTCTACGGATTAACATCATGGCACACATGTAACCCATAAGTGCTCCGTTCTACTTCTAATTCAGGCCTGAGTCTGAAGAATCTCAGTGCAGTGCACAAACTCTGTTGCACCGACGAGGATCCAGAACTACTTTGGGTAGATTTTAACTCCAAATTTTTTCTGGGTAGCACTGTTAGCTACTCTTTTTGATTTCCAACTGCCGAGCAATTTTTTTTTACGTGCACAAGAATACACACGGGCGTCTGTTCTTACTACCCAGATACCCGGGAAAATTGCAAGAAGTCCACCTAAAAAACAAATCCTAGCCTTCACCGGGGTTTGATCACGGGACCTCCAGCAATTGAGGCGGACGCCATTCCTCAAGACCACACCCCCCCCCCCCCCCCCCCACTATCACCATTATGAAACATGAAAAGACTGAAGCACTGAATGCAATGTATTCCCAGGGGCCATAGCAAATATATTTATCATGTGACGCATACCACGAACCCATGACCTCTATCAATGAGGCTTATAGACAAATCTAACATCAACTTGACTTTAAAAAGCATCTGGTTCATAAGGAAACTTCCCTAAATGCTATTTTTTAGTAAATATTAACATATATAAGAAGTTAGTTGCGTTACAGGTTAAAGTCGAGAGGAATTACTTCATTGCACTGGGTTTCATCCCATAAGGCTCGGTCTCTCTCAACAGAACGACTTGCCGCCTGCCAAAAGCAACACACAGAGCATGAACTGAATTGCTCCAGCGATGATCCCCAGGTATCTCCATAAAAACTGAACTTGTGAACTGGATGACGCAGCCGTGTAGCAAACCCACGACCTTCAAAGCAGAAGACACACGGCTTGACCACTTCGCCACAGTGACATTTTTTGGCTTTTGTGGTTTTTCTAGGCAAATTTTACATTCAGTAGTTTGCCATTATTTTCTGAACAATCAGCACTCGGTACCACAGTCGAAACCAACGCAAGGCAGATTTCTGCAGCTGGAATAGAATTCGGCACCCTGGCATTGCGTAGCATGTTCGCAACACCTAAGCCACAGACGTTGACATGATCACATATAGGGCTTCATAAATGCTGCGCCATGTGACAAATCAATGAAACAGATAATTACAGACAGGACGATTTCGAGACCTTTACAGGAATATGGCTATGACCAAAAAATTTCTGGTTCCAGGCTTTCTGGGTCAACGTGGTTAAACAGTCCCAGTAACCTAGGCAGCCTAAAATGGGTACCAGGAAAGGTTTAAGGCAGTAAAGGTGACCAGAACAGTCACTCACTGAGTGCAGAATAGTAAATAAAAGTTCTAGCACCATATATCTAATTTGCCATAAGGTATGAAAGCTGATCTTTTACTTCTGTTAAATCTCAATGTCATACGGGGGTAGTCTCGTCTGGGTTCCATAGCCCAGTTTTGGGAAGAAACAGAACAGACCCCACAGCTTCCCTAAACAAGGACATTGTAAGCATATACCAAACAGGGATGCATTTTTCAAAGTCAGAGTGCATATGCCTGAGAGGCGAGGGACCAATAGTCTGCATACAAATAAGTCAGATCTGTAAAATACACAAAACTCAAGTTCTGGAAAAAGACCACAAGTGGCCAAACAACCAGAACTTTTCGATCGCAGTTTACAGCTAGTGAAAGTTAAGAACATACACACAAAAAGAGAAAAAGAATGGCGGTAGTCATGTCTTTCCACAGCCTTCTGTCTCATGTACTTTCAGTAATTTCTGACACAGGTGATCCTCCATGAAACAATGCCACCTTCTCTCTAAGTCTCCCTCTGACTCTCTGCCTCTCCAATTTATTGCTGTCATGAGTAATCAAAGGCAAATCTGACTGCTGCCTTACGCATTTTTACTTTGTGTGTGCAAGCTTCAAGATTTTGCTGGGACTGACTAATATTTTTTTTTAAACTGGTTTTGAAATGGGACATTAAAGGACATTTTGTGTGTGTGTGTGATTTTTGCAGGCACAGGAATGGAACAGCAGCCATGGTGTGACCCGTCTGCAGTGATGCTGTAACCTCGACTAATACTAAGGTAACGCTAGCTTTTATCTTCTGATGATGCGACCAAATAAAGCAGACTGACCCCTTTTGATGTGGTTAATTTCTTTCCAGATAACCACATTACACTTTCATCTGTACATGGTTTTTTCTCATAATTTGTCTCATAATCTGTAATTATTATGGTGTTCTCATAAATTGTCTCATAATCTGCAATTATTATGGTGTTCTCATAATTTGTCTCATAATCTGTAATTATTATAATGTTGTCATAATTTGTCTCATAATCTGTAATTATTATGGCCTGGAGAGAATTAGGCACCTGGGTGTAACCAGCGGGTCTGGCCTGTGCATACACTCAGAGGAAAGGCAAGACGGACAAATAACCAGATTGTGACCAGTACCATCGGTATTGGAACTTTGCGCTGGCTGCTGAAAATGAGAACAGAGCACACATGGAAAAGCCCAGAGTGATGTGATGTCAATTTTTGACCCAACTCAACTCATAATTTGTCTATAAAACCATATCTCTTCAGCCCTAAGTTTACTTATAACATCACACAGACAATCCTTCGCAGAACATTTTAATCCCACCTTTCCGGAAAGACTCTCAACACTACACCAGTTTCTCTGCCTCGTGAATTGTCATGCTCGAGGTGTGTGTGTGTATGTGTGTATGTGTGTGCGTGCGCGCCCGCGCGTGTGTGTGGACACACACACAAGACTTTGCAAGAGTTTATACTTTAAGGCAGACTGTGAGAACAAGACTTTGCAAGAGATTATACTTTTAGGCAGACTGTGAGAACAAGACTTTGCAAGAAATTATACTTTCAGGCAGACTGTGAGAACAAGACTTTGCAAGAAATGATACTTTCAGGCAGACTGTGAGAACAAGACTTTGCAAGAAATTATACTTTCATACTTTCAGGCAATACTTTCAGGAGAACAAGACTTTGCAAGAGATTATACTTTCAAGCAGACTGTGAGAACAAGACTTTGCAAGAGATTATACTTTCAGGCAGACTGTGAGAACAAGCAAGAAATTATACTTTCAGGCAGACTGTGAGAACAAGACTTTGCAAGAAATTATACTTTCAGGCAGACTGTGAGAACAAGACTTTGTAAGAGATAATACTTTCAGGCAGACTGTGAGAACAAGACTTTGCAAGAAATTATACTTTCAGGCAGACTGTGAGAACAAGACTTTGCAAGAGATTATACTTTCAGGCAAACTGTGAGAACAAGACTTTGCAAGAAATTCACTGAGAAGAACAATGTCAAATTGTGTTGGTCATCTCATTAGAATGCAGCCACAACAACTACCAACACATGTGCTACACTTCAAAAGATCTGATGTCAGGCACCCAAAATTTATGTGGACTGATAGCATTAAAGACACTACACATTCACACTAAGCAACAATAGGCAACAAAAGCTAGTGCTTCTTCTTCTTCTTCTCTTCTCTTCCATCATTTTCCTCAGTGAGGTGTTGGGGGTGACAATATGAGGATCGTTTGTGCGCTTTCTTCCAATGCATTGTACAAGTTGGTGCTCATTTCTGATAGGTTGCTCCTGATAATGTCACTCTATTTCTTGCACGGTCTTCTCCCTGCTCTGTGTTCATTATATTTCTTCAGCGTGGCTCTCTGTGGCAGTTGGTACCAGGGCATTCTCATCAGGTGGCCAAACCATCTCATTTGTTGTTCTTTAATGAACTGCATGACTGGTTTCAGTCCTAGCTAGTGCTACTATCGAGAAATGGACTGCTACCCACGACGCTAAATGACAAAAGTTGAATTGATGATGATGACAACAGACATTTCCAATGAGTTTAATAAAAAAAGCTCAGGAAAAAAAGCCATTTCATGATTTCTAGATAGCACAAATAATAAGACACTTACCGCAACCCATTTGTTTTGCATAACTTGTACAATATCAAGTCTTTTGTCTGGGTCTGTTCGCAGCAGGCCTCTGATTAAATCTTTGGCTGAAAAGGAAAAAAAATTACTCCAATTTTACGCTGCCACTATCATCAATATGCAGCTTTGGGACAGCACAAATTACAGTGAATCCAAAGGTGAGGACAGGACACATACTTAGTAACAATATGATTATAATGTTCTTGTCCTCGTATGTGTTCCAGAGCCATATTTTAGGTGAGGGGAATAGACTCATTGCCCCCCTCCCCCCACAAGCAATTCGCAGAAGGGAATTATTTAGGGGTATTTCTTTCTAAAGCAGTGTGCATCTGTCTAAAAGGTGATGAACCAACAGTCTGCACAAAAATGTGGCAGATCTGTACAATGGATGTGCACACAAAACTCAAGTTCTGGACAAAGTCTGTGATGGATAAACAACCAATTTTACTGAGGAGTTTAGTTGGTGAACAGTAAGAAGAAGAAGAAGAAGAAGAAGAAGAAGAAGAAGAAGAAGAAGAAGAAGAAGAAGAAGAAGAAGAAGAGAGAAGAAAAGAAGAAGAAGAAGAAGAAGAAGAAGAAGAAGAAGAAGAAGAAGAAGAAGAGAAGAAGAGGAAAAGAAGAAGAAAAAGAAGAAGAAGAAAAAGAAGAAGAGAAGAAGAAGAAGAAGAAGAAGAAGAAGAAGAAGAGGTAGAAGAAGAAGAAGAAGAAGAAGAAGAAAGAAGAAATAGAAGAAGAAGAAGAAGAAGAAGAAAAGAAGAAGAAGAAGAAGAAGAAGAAAAAGAAGAAGAAGAAGAAGAAATAGAAGAAGACGAAGCAGAAGAAGAAATAGAAGAGACGAAGCAGAAGAAGAAAAAGAAGAAGAAGAAGAAAAGAATAATAACAAGAAAAGAAGAAGAAGAAGAAGAAGAAGAATAAGAAGAATAAGAAAGAAAGAAGAATAAGAAGAAGAAAAGAATAAGAAGAAGAAGAAGAAAGAAGAAGAAGAAGAAGAAGAAAAAGAAGAAGAAGAAGAAGAAGAAGAAGAAGAAGAAGAAGAAGAAGAAGAAGAAGAAGAAGAAGAAGAAGAAGAAGATAGATAGAAGAAGAAGAAGAAGAGGAAGAAAAAGAAGAATAAGAAGAAGAAGAAGAAGAAGAAGAGAAGAAGAAGAAGAAGAAGAAGAAGAAGAAGAAGAAGAAGAAGAAGAAGAAGAAGAAGAAAAAGAAGAAGAAAAAGAAGAAGAAGAAGAAGAAGAAGAAGAAGAAGAAGAAGAAGAAAAAGAAGAAGAAGAAGAAGAAGAAGAAGAAGAAGAAGAAGAAGAAGAAGAAGAAGAAGAAGAAGAAGAAGAAGAAGAAGAAGAAAAGGAAAAAGAAAAAGAAGAAGAAGAAGAAGAAGAAGAAGAAGAAAAAGAAGAATATCCTTGCACAAGCTAAAATGAATAAAGGCAGAGAGTAATGAAGATATCTTGAAAGCATAAACTCACAAAGAAAACTGATTACTCACACCAGAAAAAACAAAACAATTTACATTCTTCTGACTTGTCATGAAAAGCAGAACTGTCAAGACAACAGCAGTTAAAGTAAAAAGAGACAGGGGAAGACTAAGACAGAAGATGGACAATTTGGCATAAACATATATTTAAATAACACAGGAGAGTAGTTTTATTGATACAGCAGTATCATTAAAACTCTACTCTCCTATGTTATGTAAACAGAAAGACCACATCATCAATTCGAAGTTGCCATGGTAATTACCTGACTGATTTTGAATAAACACCTGTATCAAAAATGACTGACAGTAAATATGACAGAAGGCTGTGGACAGATATGTTTACTGATGTGACATGAAATGGACTATAAGAAGATGAAAAATAGCAAACGTTTAGACACACAGATACACTACATGGTATGGACTTAGAGGAGGATGACGAGATGTAAACATTGTAAAACATTAAACACACGAACAACAAAGTAAGAACTAAAGGGTGAAGAAGAAAAACAAAACAATGTAATTCATTTAAACACACACAACAAGCAAACAAGAGCTCTTACCTTCAGAACTAACCCTGCTCCACTCAGGGTTAGGGAATTCATACTGACCATTACGTATTCTCTTCTTCATTCCTGGAGAGATGGCAGCTCCGTGATTGCTATAGAATGGGGGGTAGCCACACAGCCTGAGCATAGAACAGTACAAAGTTCACATTTCCTGCTGTTGACTGATTTATTAGTTACTCTTCTTCTTCTTCGTAATTATCAGCTGTAAAGTCTAGCAGAAAGTTTGGGTTGTTCACTCATTTCTGGACTTGAGTCTTGTTCGAGAATCTGAGTTTTGTGTGTACATCCGTTCTGTAGATCTGGCCTATTTGTATGCAAACTGTTGGTTTCTCACTGCTCAGGCAGATACACTCTGATTATGAAGGAAATATCCCAATTTATTTGGCTCTTATGACATGCTTGTTATGGAGTAGTGGGTCTATTCTTTTTTTTTGCTCTTCATAATTGGGTCCTGGAAACCACACAAGGTTCTCAATACAAACAATGAAACTGATTTTACCTGGTTGCTGTACTTTGATGGATCTTCTTTTTCTTTCTTCTTGGTGTTGGTTTTATGTTCTCAGATCAGACTGTCAGGCAGACTGCCTCTATGAACATGCATGCCAGTGGCAGGTCCTCCATGGTTTCACATAGCTAGCGTCGCACACTTTGCGTTTGAGACCATGTTTCTCATTGTACTTTGACAGTCTTCTCCTTTTTTCACCAGCTGTAAGCTCCGGAGGAAAGTAGTGGTTGTTTATCCATTTGGACTTTTGGAATTTTGCGTGTACGTCCATTTTACTGAATGATTTGTGTGCAGTTAGTAGTTCCTTGCCACTCGGGCAGACGCACTCTGACTTTGAAGAAAGCTCCCAAATAGTAGACTCATATGACATGTTTATTGGGGAGGCAGTGGATCTATTCCTGTGTTCCCCCACAATGAGGCTCCAGAACTTAAACGGAGATGGCTGGGCATCTTCTTTGGTTCGGTCCCAATATTTCACCACAAATGACGTCACGGGACAGCCCAAAAATTGTGAGGGTGGTAAGAGAGTGCTTTCCCGTTGCCTGTGTGTCTTCCAAGGCATTGCCAAGCGTTGCCAAGGTTTTGGCGCGTTTCTTCTTTCAGTGGCATTTTTTCAGCAACTTGTGTTTGCGATGTCTCTCCAGCTACTTGTGCGTTCAGTCTTCATCGCCATGAATTTCCTGAAATCGGTGCCTGACAAGGAGAGTATTATTGCTTTCCTGCAACATCATGGCATTCTGCATAGCACCAAACGTTGTGGCAATAATCATGTGATGGTGTTACCACAACAATAGTCTGTCGTCCCTGCTGCTGCTATTGCCGCAACAGCAGGTGCCGCATTCCAACCTCTCTCCAGATATACTAAGGAAAAAATTGTTCTGACTGTCAAGTCATGTGTGAACCCAGCAACATACATCTAGAATGACTGACCCTTTTTAGGGCCACTCCCCACAGTACCACATTTGGCAATTTATCCTGCCCGATTGCACATTGAGTTTCAAACAAATTGCAAAACGGCATCCTCCTACCTAGCAAAAAAACAAAAAACAACAAAAAACATTGCTCTTAGGCCGTTAGTGACATCTAGTTTTCTATATTCCAAGATGTGAGCGCTTTTAATGACCCCAAAACATCTACACAACTTGGCCCTAACCCCAACCCACATGCGTCCCATGAAAGAGTGTAGCCCAGGTCCCACCACTGTATGCAGCCTAAGTCCTCCTCCAAACACACACAAAAACTGCATCCCCCCGACTGCACAGAGTCCATAACACACAGAAAAAGCACACCAAAAAAACAACACAAGATGCATACAAAACTGAAAACTGTGCAGTGCAAAACTGCATAGCAAATAAAATGCCAAATTACTACACTATATAACATCCCCTGAAATATTAGACTGTCCCTTGACCTGTGGATTTCCCATATTTGTGGTGAAATACTGGGAAAGTACCGATTCTTCTGATTCTGTGTTTGCCCTTAAAGGGCCAGTTGGCAAATTATTGTGTGGTTTACAACTCAACCTAGCAGAACAGTCCTGCATAGAATGATTTTTCTGTCTATAGACTTGTCACAAAAACATCCTTTATTTCTGTATTGTATTTTTTTGTTTAAAGCTAATCTATACTTTGTAGTAATTTACTGGGGTTTTTTTCCCCTAAACGCACCATTTCTCATTCGTCTTCCACTTCCAGACTTTGGCCGTTTCAGAACTTGAGTTCTGTATGCACATGCATTTCTCAGATCTGGCTTATTTGTATGCAGACTGTTGGTTCTTGCCTCTCGGGCAGATGCATCCTCACTCTGAAGAAATCATCCCTAATTATTGGCCTTGTACATGCTTGTTGGGGTGGGGGGGGGGGGGGGGGGGGGGGGGGGGGGGGGTGGGGGGGGGGGCGGGGGGAGGAGGAGGCAGTGAGTCTATTCTTTTTACACCAAAAATGGGGTCCGGGAACCCACAAGGGGAACTCCTAATTCAAAGCTGGTGGCACAGCACTGGTAAAAAAGATGGTAATGCAATGTACATAAACATCCAATTAGCAATACTTACAGAATATACATGATAACTCCTAGAGACCACATATCACACGATTTGTCATATTTCTCCGGACCTAACACTTCGGGTGCTGCAAAATAACAACAAATAAAACAATATAATATACACTACAAACTTAGGTCCACTAACAACCAAAAAAACTATATACTGTATACAGCAGTGATTCACAAACTGCACCACGGCACCCCGGGAAGCTGTGACCTCTTCACTGCATAAATATTCAAAGATACGCCAAGTTTTTTTTTCTCTAACATACGAATAGTCATACTTTTACTTAGGTTTGAGCGCCGTGGAAACGTTTTTATTGGGGGAAAAAGGCGCTGTGACTAGGAAATGTTTGGGAAACACTGGTAACAAACATTCTTCCCTTGTGGGCACCAGGGCCCCATTGTGGGGAAAACAAGAACAGACCAACTGCTTCTTCAACAAGCAGGTCGTAGGAGTCGACTAACTGGGGGCATCTTTCAAAGTCAGAATACCCCTGCCCTCATGCATCCGAGAGGCCAGCAGCCAAGAGTCTGCATATAAATAAGCTAGATGTGTGAAAGAGGTGTGCACGCAACCCTCGGGTTCTTGAACAAGACTAAAGTTTAGAGGTGAGCAAACACCCAGAGCTTTCGGCCGGAGTTTACAGCCAAGGAACTTGAGGAAGAAGTGGTATACAACATGAACTGATATTCAACTGTCATTACAGTCTATAGTTACCACTTTTGCTGTGTAGGCATGGTGTCTATAAGCCTGAGGATTTACTGTCACATGGCTAGTGCTGTCGACACGCAAGTTAAGAATTTTATTGCTGCCCCCCGACAAATTAAAAATCTGCAAATCTAATGGGAAGATTCAAACCCGCGTCTCCTGGCTGAGAATCAAGTGTTCCTACTGTTCGGACAGTCACTCCTTTATTAACAACAAATTATATTGCACACAACATAACCTATTCCTTAGCAACAGTTAGCTAGCATTATAGCGTTTACACGCTGTAGACTCCGACAAAAGTTCTGGTTGTCTGTCAAATTCCGGACTATGGTCTTGTTAAAGAACTGATTGTGTGTGTGCATATACATTTTACAGATGTAGCTTATTTATATGCAGACTGCTGGTTTCTCACCACTCAGGCAGATGCACTCCGACTTTGAAGGAAAAACCCAAAATTAGTGGTTTCTTACAAATGCTTCTTTGGGAAAGTGGGACTATTCTTTTTCTTTACCCCAAAATAGAGCCCTGGAAAGCACACATGGTAGTGGGCATACCAGATAAATTGAATTCTTAACAATAGGATGAAATCTTTCAAATGTTTCTAATACACACAACAAAATCGATCAAATGTTCCTAATATAGACAATGAAATCTATCAAATGTTTATAATAAAGACAATGAAATCTATCCAATGTTTCTAATACAGACAATGAAACCTATCAAATGTTTCTTTAATAAAATCAATGAAATCTATAAAATGTTTCTAATACAGTCAATGACATCTTAATACAATCAATGAAAACTATCAAATGTTTCTAATACAGACAATAAAATCTATCAAATGTTTCTTATACAGTCAATGAAATCCATAAAATGTTTCTAATACAATCAATGAAACCTATCAAATCTTTCTAATATAGACAATGAAATCTGTCAAATGTTTCTAATAGTCGATGAAATCTATCAAATGTTTCTAATACAGTCAATTAAATCTATTAAATGTTTCTAATACATTCATTGAAACCTATCAAATGTTTCTAATACAGTCAATGAATGAAATCTATAATATGTTTCTAATACAGACAATAAAATCTATGTTTCGAAAACAGTCAATGAAATCTATCAAATGTTTCTAACACAATCAATGCAATCCATCAAGTATTTATAATATGCACACACAAAAATCTATCAAATGTATCTAATACACACAACAAAATCTGTCAGAAGTTTCTGATATTCTTAGCGAAATGTTTCACATACAGAGTAATCACTCTCAAAAGATCACATACCAACATAATACGGTGTATAGCAGGGTGTTTGCAATGATTTGCGCTGACCAATTTCTTTGGCAAAACCAAAATCTGTTAATTTGAGAATGCCCTTGTCTGTTTTATCTGAGTACAGCAAATTTTCAGGCTGCAGAAGATACAAAGCAACTTGGGTTACAACCGCCATGAAGATGTGAAAATGCTTGAGTTTGAGGGTAGAATACACAATTTTAACAATTTAAGCCTGCGAAAACACCTTTAGGTATATAGGGAATATAGGGCTAGACCTATATTTGTATAGACCAATCGGCACCTGGTAGGCGATGTGGTCAGCATTACCCCGGCCACCTCTACTTCCTGTAAATGTACCTGCTACCCACTCAAGGCTGGGTTAACCTGGTAGTCAGGGTCATTTTTGAAGAAAAAAGTATGTCTCCGTTAGAAAGCGAACCCACAACCTTCTGATCCGCAGGTGGGTGTCTAGCTGTCAATGCCACGGACACTCCCTTGCAAAAACTACTTCTGCTTCTTCTTCAACCTGTGGTCCCGGAAACGCAAAAACAAAAAAAAAAAAACAGAAACCTATAGGAATTCATGAAAATTTGTTTAAAAAACCAAATCAATTTTACACAGGTCAGTAATTAAAAAAAAAAAAAATTTCATAGTGACTTGTGTCATGACTCCTTGACCTCCATCACTTAGTCTAAACGGGAAAATTTGATGTTAACATGGCTATAAAAAAAAGCTATTTGGTTCACAGGAAAACATCACTAAATGCTATATTTAGCTGATATATTCATATCCTGATTGCATAAACTTTTTGCGCTGACATGAACTTAAGCAAAAGCATTAACTGTGCTTCTAGTAAAACCTTCACTGTCAACACGGTGGAAAGGTGACATTTACAGGGAATTGGACCCAACAGGAGCTTTTGGTTTTACAGCTTCTTAGGGTGTTGGCGTCTGTGGCTTAGGCGTTGCAAATGCGCTTTGTAGTGCTGGAGTGCCAGGTTCAATTCCAGCTGCGGACAGTCTGCCTTGCGTTGGTTTCGATAGTGGTACCAAGAGCTGACCATTCAGAAGGAAATGGCAAACTACTGAACGTACAATTTGCCTAGAAAAATCACAACAACCAAAAAATTTGCTGGGGTAGATTCTGCAACGTCCTGTAAAGCATACGTAACTAACTTTTTTTTTAAGAGTGACAGGGTTTCGACAATTGGATTTTTTTTTTTTCGATTATTTCTCATTACTATAGTTTTACTGGTATTCATAAAGCTTGAAGTGTCGCAGAGAGGAGATAGATGTATTTTTCTGTCTTTTGCTAGTTGTGTAGCTGGTGTTAATGTCATATCGCGTTTCTAAAGCCTCTCTTTTACTCAGTCCACCCATCTCTTTCTTGGTCGGCTCTTGCCTTGTAGCCTGCTGCTGTTTTCATGTGGTAGGCTCTAGCTGCTGGCTGATTTTGTTCCATTCTGACCAGATGACCAAACCATTTGATTCTTTAATGGTCTATGAAATTATTTACCGTTACCGTGCCTACCACTGTTCTTAGTCCTTCGTTGGTAACTCTGTCTACTCTTGCTTTCCCCGCCACATTTCTTACACATATAATTTCACACTGTAATTTTGTGCTTACATTTTTCTAGGGGAATATCCATAAATATACAGGTAAATAGATAAATATATCTTACCAATACTTATGCTATCAATGTCAAACATGGACACAGTCTTCAGAAAATAGTCAGAAACAGAAATGAAATGTTTATGTACCATGCTAGGTATAAAAAGGAAAGACTGAATTAGGAACAAAATCAGGAGAATCTGTACAGAACCAGTTTTGGTAGACACAAAACAATGACATACAGATACAGCAGTAACAGAGCCAGAGGTCAACCACGCAGACGACAACAGCAGACATATCAAAGACAATGAAAAGTACTTTATACAAAGCGAACAGAAGGGCCTGTTGAACAGATCTCTTCCTGCCCTAATGTTGCGAGGCATTCCAGGAGTAGAGAACAGAAGAAGATAGATAAATAATTACCTTTAAATCTCTGTGTGCTATATCCATGGAATGTAGATGAAATATTGCTTTAGCAATGTCTCTGATGATTGCGGCTGCCTCTGTAACAGAATAATTGCAATGCATGAAGAACTTGACCAATTACAATCTTTTGCAATATACAGCAACAAAACAAAACTAACAAAGAACTCAATATGTGCGGAAAAACAAAAAGGAAAAGCCATATTGTTGTTAATGTTCATGTTTGGCACTAGTAACAAAATTAACAAAGAACTGAATATGTGCGGAAAAACATAAAGGAATGAAGCCATATTGTTGTTAATGTTCATGTTTGGCACTAGTAACAGCATGCGAGTAAAAAACAAAGCACTGACTTGTGCTTTTTCGGTGTCAATTGTTACACGTTAATTAATCACCTTTTATCGCAGGCTTGTTGAGAGGTTAAGTCTAATGTCCAACTGCTTAGAACACTAGCTATCAGTAGCTTTTCAAACAAGATTTTTTCGCATACCCTGGATATACCGGCGTGATGCTGACCACATTTCCCATCTTGTGCAGATTGGTCTATAAAAATAAAGGCCTAGCCCTATATGCCTAAAGGCGTGGAAAAGGGACCTTTACTTTTTTTTTCCTGGGTATACCATAAAGAGGCCACAATATAAACGATGAAGTTCATTGTATCATCATTCAACACAAAGGTAAATTTTTAAAAATCTATTTTCAACCACAAGTAAAAAGACAGAAAATGCAATATACAGACATGTAACAAGATCTACCACCCTGTCCAAAACGACACTTTAGGTTTCTGTAAAGGGAAAGAAGAGAAGAGGCAGACCAATAAATGTAGCTAGATAGACAGGACTTCTATATATCTTCTTTTACCCCACCAGGACATCACACAAGCGATAAACACAGATGACACAAAGTGCCACCATGTGGATGAGGATCACCCGTAGAGAGGTCCCAGAAACCACATTCAGCCACTAGACCATATTTATGGCCTAGCTATATAGCGGCCCCTGGCAAGAGCCAGAGTAAGGCTTCAAATAACGAAAAATTGCATCCCACAAAGGTAAGACAAAATTATAGACAGGACTTAAACATGCAGACATTAAGTCCATTTCATCTGACTGACAGGGGTGCTTGGGAGCAGATCAGACAACAGCACTGGTGACCTAACAACATGTAGAGCTGTGGGACTATGATGATGATGTTAAGGGGGCAACAGGCCATTTTACCCCACCCATAATGGGGTCCCAGAACACTCACTGGAAAGTATGACACATGATGATAATGAACATCACAAGTGAGCTAATCTATACAAACCTCTTTCTGTAAATGCTGAGTCTGCTCTCTCTTGTATGCGATTAAAAAGCTCTCCGCCCTCCATGCTGTCAGATTTAAAAAAAATGTTTATTTATTTATAAATACAAATATATATTATATTTATTTATCAAAGATATGATGGTATATATCTGTAGCTTAGGTGTTGCGAACATGCTTTGTAATACAGAGGACCCCTTGTTCGATTCCAGCTGCGGGCGATTTGGCAGTAGACCAACAGCCTTGAGTTGAGTTTGACAGGGTCATCCAGAGCTGCGGATCGTTCAGGATGCAGTAGCAAACTACTACTATTTCTTGGTTCACCAGCTGTAAACTCCAGCGGAAAACCTGGTTGTTCATCCATGTGAACTGTAGCTTTGTGCCTGGGCCTGAGTTTTGTGTGTACATCCATCTCACTGGTTTATTTCTGTGTGTAGTTGGTTGTTTCTTGTCGCTCAGACAGATGTACTTTGACTTTGATTCAAGCTCCTAATCAGTCGACTCCTACGACATGCTTGATGGGGAGTCAGTGGGTATAGCCCCCCCCCCCCCTCCCCCCCAACAGGGCCCCGGAACCCACACATGACTGAGCAAACTACTGAAAGTAAAACTAATGTAAAACCACCTAGCACAGTGGCTCTCAAACTTTCTGAGGCGGCCACCCTCTAATACACTTCCCTCATACTGTGGCGACCCACAAACAATTATTTCCCTTCATAACTTTAATGAATATGTATTTTCCTATGGTCTTAGGCGGCCCATACGAAAAGCTCTTTTGATCCTTGAAAAAGTGTAGCGACCAGCCGGTGGAGAACTGCTGGTCTAGCAAAACCAAAGCAGCCAACAAATAATGGGGTGGTTTCGCAACATTTTGCAAAGGATACGCAACAAACAAACAAATATAGTTGATTAAGCTGCAATATTTTGCCCAGTTCAGTACATTTTCTGCTTCTTCTTAGCGTTTACCAAAACTCCAGTGGAAAGTTCTGGTTGTTCATCTACTTCTGGACTCTGGTCTTGATCCAGAACTTGAGTGTTGCCTGCTGCCTGCACATCCGTTTTACAGATCTGACATTTTAGTGTGCCAGAATGGGTATATTCTCTTGTCCCCCAAAATAGGGTCCCGGAACCCACAAAGGCAGCTCAGTACATCTGATTCTCAATGACATTTACAGAGACACACAGGTCTAGCACCATATACCTAATATGGCTTTTAAAAAAAATTAAGACCCTTTTCCTTATTATGCAGTAATAAAGGTCTTGAATGGACATCTGCATCTTGTGGGTTTTATATACAGTTTCAAAATTCTGACATACAAATGTTCAGAATTAGCTGCAGACAATCTGGCCAAAGACCGCTTTGCATTGATTTCAACAACAGCTGTGTTGAGTTTCAAGAACTGACATCACAGCTGAGGATAATTTCCCATAAGCACTCTGTCCGCATCTTCAGTAGCCAGCTAAGAGTCCCAACTTTGACGGTACCTGCAGCAGTCTGATCGTATATCCCTCTCACCTTTTCATTGAGTGTGGGGTGTCAGCCAGATCCCCTGGTCAATCCCCTTGCATAATTTTCTTCAGACCCTGATGATCTCATTGAGCCTCTTCACTCAATCCCAAAGGGCACTGACAACATCTAGCTTGTCTGCATCAGTTTACCACCGAGCGGTACAGAATCAGCTAGTCTGTCTGCTAGTTCATTTCCCAACAGACCTGCATACCCTGGAGAAAATATCCAAAGGAATAACTACTCTAACCCTCTGAAGCGAAGCGCTACCTGCCACTCTGCTCAGATCATAGCAAGCTTTGCGAGTCAGTAACAATCACAACATGAGTGTTCAGCTGATTCTCAAGCCAACCTAAGGTCGCAGAATATCAAGTAATTTAGAGAGAGAAAAACGGCAAACTACTGAACGTAAAAACACAAACAGCTGACAAATATCAAAGTTGATTTGTGTTGTCCTGTAAAAGAATATGCAACCAACTGTTTTTTGTTTGTTTTTTGTTTAAAAGGTCTTGTCCCTAATGCGTTCAGGCGCCCCACTGTGAGGAAAACAAGAACAGACCCGCTAGCTCCCCAACCGACATGTTGTTAAGAATTGACTAACTGGGGACTTTCTTCAAAGCTGGAGTAGATCTCCCTGAGAATCAAGGAACCAACAGTCTGCATACACAACGAATGTATATTCAAAATCTTAGGCCCTGGCACAAAGCCAAAGTCCAACTGAACGAACAACCAGGACGTTCGTTCCACAGGAGCTTACAGTTGGTGAACAAACAAGGTAATGAAGAAGAAAAGCTCTCAAAAACAATGCAACATTTACCATTCCATGACGACAAGAAGGCACCTCTGTCCTGAGTAATTATTCTCATAAATATCGTGAATTTTAACAATGTGGTTGCATGCCAGGCACGCCCTCACGTGCAAATCTACCTCCCGCCGGGCTTTTGGCACATCTTTCAGAACCTGAAATGAAAAAAAAAAACTGTGTTAAAATCCTAAGGTATAATTTTTAAACAGAAAGTGCAGCCTGTATCATTATTACCTATGAATGGCCATTTCGACACATATGGTTAACTCAATGGCCATTTCCCTCTCATTCAATGTCTCTACCTCACTCTGTCTCTCTCCCATATTCCCCCCAATAACCCTTCTCCAACACTAAATCATACCATCACTTTAACCTACAAAAAAAGGACAAACCTATGAACTGAATCAATGTGTAACTAAAGCACTGAATCAATGAACCCGGCCAATTACCCACACTATAATTACACTTTTCCTATTCTGTCTGAGCTCAAGTTACACTTCACAATGGGCTCCCGTAATTGTGCCCATAGTTCAGTAGCAATCCCTGTGCTATATTTAGATGATCTAAAACCAAACTCAAACACTAGGAACAAAAACACACCATTACATCACAGGCTATTTTAGGCACAAGCAGCTGTGCACTTTTTAATCATCAATGTCAGCTCATTCATGTTCCTATCAAACACAATAGCTCTTTCCTCCCACTCAAATCTACAATAAACCTTTCCTAATTTGCTATTGTCTCGTCAGCAACAGTCAGCTAGTACCCGTCGATATCATCACAAAGAGATCTGGATCACACCAGAACCAAAAACCACAATTACCGCAGCACAGCAAGGAAGCAAACAACCGTAATATCAGGTGTGACTACACACCACAAATAAAAGGAAACCATATAAGACAGCTAAAGACCCTTCTTCGATATAGCAGGCCTCTGGGCGGCTGAAAGAGGATCAAATTTGGAATTTTTGTTGGACAAATTGGAATTGGAATTGTCTCGTCAGTATTTTTCCCCGCTGTTTTTCAGTAATGCCTTGTAACTGCCTAACCTTCTAGCACTGGGTCTATTAGTCTTTCTTGTAAAAGTCAAGATCCCTTTTCACGCCTTAGGCGCATCGGGTACATGGGAAGAGTGTCCCATATTTTTACAGACCAATCGGCACCGGATGGGGTAATGTAGTCAGCATTGTAACCAACTCACCATGCATTTACAGATTACACCTTACATAAGATACCTTTTCTAAACCCTGTATTCCCCAAGTAGCTGCTACAATCTCCTGTGTTAACCCGGATATTTTAGCCCCTCTAGATCTAAACTAATATTACTGTAGGAACCAAATATTTAGAAATAAACAAGCTAAAGTAATACCTTCCTGGGAAAGAAAAGGAGTTATGAAGGGCTCAGAATTAAAATATAATGCCCTGGAGTTTTCCACATAGCATGCAGACTAGATGACAGTAACAACAATTATAAGACAAAGAAGGTTGCAGATAACCACCAAGAAGACACTAAAATGGGGGAAAAAGGGATTAAGGAAGTGAGGATGACCCCCACCCCCACCCAAAGAACTCTAAAACAAACACTGATAACAGAAACCAAAGCTCCCCGTGTCGGTTCCGGTGAGCTATTATGGGGGGGGGGGGGGGGGAGGAATAGACCCACTGCCTGCCGAAAAGTATGTCGTAAGAGTCAACTAATTGGGAGCTTCCTTCAAAGTCGGAGTGCATCTGCCTGAGAAGCAAGGAACCAGCAGTCTGCATACAAATGAGTCAGATCTGTAAAACGAATGCACACGCAACACTCAGGTTCTGGAACAGGACTGCAGTCCAAAAGTGGACGAACAACCAGAACTTTCCACCACAGTTTACAGCTGGTGAACGCAAATAGGAGAAGAAGAAGAAGAAGTTATAAGACAAAGAAGGTTGCAGAGAACCACCAAACAGGCACTAAAATGGGAAATAAAGGGACTGAGAAAGTGAGAACGCCCCTCCACACCCCCTCCCCTTCAAAAAAAAGCACCCTAAAACAAACACTGAAAACAGAAGCCAAAGGTGCTGCACTGGAATCCATCCATGATATTGGACTGACTGCGCAGGACAGAACAGAAAGAAGGTATAGACTGCGAGCCCTATGTGACACATAATGGCTCAAGAGGACAATGATGACACAGACTAGGATTGTTCTTTGACTTCAGTCAGCAAAACTTTCTGCATATAAACAGAAGTAATCAAATACAGAGGTTTTAGGGAAAAAACTGGGTATACAAAAAAGAGCAACTGCAAGAAAGAAACAAAAACCCTTCAGCCACCATAAAAGGCACGATTACTCATTTAAAAAAAAAAAAAAAGGCTATACTAGAGGGAACTGGAAAAGCTGAAAGCAGAAGAGCAAGAGGTATAGTTATACAAGCGGGGAAAAAGGTGGACAAGCAAGGAGTATCAGCTATACAAAGGGGGGGATAACAGGAAAAGATGGCTGAGAACAAGATGCTGTCATCGGGTAGGTCACACACTGGAGAAAACAGCTAGCCACCTGCCGAATTCTCCACACAGAACACGAACTATACAGCTACTGCGATGATCCAGGCACTCCGTAGAAATTGCACTCATGAACTAAACGGCGCAGCTGTGAAATGAACCCATAACCTTCAGAGAGCGAGGGAAACGGATTGACCACTTCACCACAGAGCAGAGAATTAGTGAATGTGGTGAAAAGACGGGGAGGACACAGGTGAACTGCATGCAGTGGCAAGGGATAAGATGGCTGGTATGAGTCAGCTGAGGACATTTGATCCTCTGGTTAAAGATTACTGATTACACAGGTGCTCCGTCTCAAGCAGCAAGGTGTAGATGCTAACTGGTCCCATTGTGCACTGATTATACATACGTCATTCTCTTCCTCCCATTTGTACTTTCTTGTCAGATCCACTCCGAATTCCCTGTTCACACATTCTTACACATGCTATTTTATATAATCTTATGTCTTCCGTGAACATTCTTTCATTTACGGTCTTCAGAACATCTTCCTTGTCCAGTATGAGTGTTCCATTAGCTGTCGCTTTTGTAGCCAGCAAAATCCACTTTTCCATTCCCTCGTACTCTTGCATGTTGTGGATAGTATATCCACTTGATTCCCTGTAATGTTGGCGTACTGATGCTTGGTATCCACTCATGCCACATTTGTCCATTTTGAACCTTCTGCAGTACCGACTGAGAATCAGACACAATAATTCTTCTGCTCTCCAAATCAGAGCTGCAGTGACTGCCTCCAGCTCCATTATCATGGTTGAAGAGCAGAATAAGAACATCAACTCAATTAAAAAATCAGAGTCGACTGAAGTGCAGAACAGAAATTTCCTTTTTTTTTTAAATCAGAGACCTCTGGCATGTCATGATCGTCATTTTCTGAAGAAAAAACAGTCGAAGAAGAAAGAAGTCAGCCAAAAAATCAAATCTGCAATTATTATTCTAATTAACCTCAATTAGACATGCTTACGTTTTGTTTGCCTAACACTTGCTATGCATGCTAAAATCAAATACCCCTATTACATGGTGTGTATCTTGCTGATAACAGCACAGCTGGTGTAATTCCACACCTGATACAATGACACACTAGCAGTGTTACATAGAAACACCTGAAATGTTTTATGATCTTAGCTGCAACTTTTGTTTCTCATACGAAAAAAGATGATTTACTACAAAGGAAGAGCCACCATGGCAGTTCTCAAGAAGAAAAGATGAGGAGAAAAGGACTTGCTAGCCGGCCTCAATTGTCATGGCCTAGATTATATGAAGACCTAACATTCATAAATGAAACAGAGGTTATGAAGAAATTAGGAACGAAAATCAAAATGCTGAAAGAAATTTAAAGAAGAAAAAAAAGAAGTGACAAGACAAATATTTCGGCCATATTAAAAGACATAACTTTTTAAAGTCATAATGGGGGGGGGGGGGGGGGGGGGGTGAGGTTGAGGACAAGAGATAGATAATGATACAAGTAACAGTGTGCTGCAGATATACTGCAGCCAACCGTCTTTGTGGAGATGGCACACGACTGATTTAAAACTGTCATCCCAAAGGCAGTATTTGCTATGGACTGACTTCTGGTCAAATATGGTGGATTGGCCGGTTGACCAATAATACTTTCTTTTTCTTCTTCTTTGTTCACCAGCTTTAAGCTCAGGCGGAAAGTCCTGGTTGTTCGTTCATTTGGACTATGTGCCAGGGACTGAGCTTTGCATGTACATCCGTTTTACTGGCTTATCTGTGTGCAGTTGGTTGTTATTTTGCACTGGGGCAGATGCACACAGACTCTGAAAAAAGTCCCTACTTAGTCGACTTCTACGACATGTTTGCTGTGGAGGCAGTGGGTCTATTCTTGTCCCAGAACCAACACAGGGACAATGATGCTTTGAAAAATTATCTGTTTCTGGCCAGGATATTTTCATGCAGTTTTCCCATTTGTGGATTAAGAGTCCAAAGATTATATCGCAGAGCTACTGATTTTACTGCTTGGCGTGACACTGTAAACAATGGATTTTATATTTGTTTGTTTACTACTGTGCCCAGGATCATTTTGTGTTGGGAACTGCATTAACATGTCAGGTGGCTAATTAGGTTCAGAATGGTGTACTTATGCAGTATTGAGGGTGCAGCCAGCTTTCATAAGTGACTTGTTGCAATTCTAGTGGATACTGAAAGTGTTGGCACATCTGACGGCTGCATTATGCATTTACACTGTGTGTGAGCTTCAGGATTTGGCTGGAACTGACATGATTATTCACTAGTTTTAAAATGGGGCCATGAAGGACATTTTGTGTGAATTCCACCGGCACAGAAAGTCACACTGTGACTCATATGCATTGAAGTTAAAACCTCGACTAACTAACGACTAACAACTGTCATGAGACTGGAGTGCAATGCACTTATAAATCAGCATATGACATGCAGTGTGTGGCCTATTCTCCTGTACAGATGAGAATATCTAATAATGAAGAAAGAATATCAACTTCGCTAAGACCGGTCCCAAGCCCGGCTGTAAAAGGAGGAGGGTCTGGCTGAACCTGAGTGCTTCATGCGCCTCCGGAAGTAGTGGGTAACCGTGAATCAGCCAGACGGCCTGCATGGAGGCCGCAAGGAGGCAGCCCCTCCACCAT